CCGGTGGGGCGGTGCCGGTTCAGCATCAGGATGAGCTGCTGCCGCTCCTGCTTCAGCTCCTCAATCTGGGTCTTCAGCTCCGCGTTCATGAGTTCTAGCCGCTCAGACTCCTGTGTGCAAAGAGACATGCAGTAAGCTTTCGCTGAGGACTGGCTCTGGGAAAGGCTCTGCCTGTTTTCTGTCTGCCAGGGTGCCCCTGGAGGATGCACAGAAGCTGCGACTGAGCCCTGGAGTTCATTGCATTTCATTGCCACTGGCGGGGTAAATCCAGGTTGTATTCTGGGGCCGGGCAGCTCATGTCCCTCATCCCTCCTCTCCCTCCATCCACTCCTGCACAAATGTGTGAAACACTCTCTAGCCTCTGGGCCTTTGCATGAGAAACAAAGGGTGAGAAAAGGACAGAGGCCAAGTGGGTCTCCAGGTCAGTGGAAGGCCACGGAGGAATGTGAGGTGACCCGCAGCTGCAGTGCAAGGGCTAATGCTTGATGGGTGATGAGTGCGTGTTCGTGGTATTTTGGCCTGTGGATTAGTAAGCCCAGTGTAGGCATGTATTCCTCCTAGAACATGTGCTTCTTAACTACTAGTCTATAATGATTTAATCAATCTTAACTTTTTTTAATTCCCAGTAATCTTTGCCTACAGAGAGAAAATGCACTAGCTCCTGCTAGATCCAAAATGAGCTTTTCTGTAGGCCTCAATGAGATTGCCCAGTGAATTTTCAGCTCAGCTGAAGAAGCTCCGGGGAAAGGAAAAAATATTGAAAATTTTATTTTGGTGAGGGTTTAGATGTTCATAGTAAGGATAGGTGGTGGGCATGTCCATTCAAAGCCTGAGGATCAAAGGGCAAAACCAAAAAGCATCTGAATGACTTTTCTCGGACCGTATCTAAAAACTCAGCACAGGCTTGAGAGCTGACATATATTCAAGGACCAGTGAAGTTTCAGACGGGTGGTTCTCTCTTTTTTTTTTTTAAAATTTTTTTTTTAACTTTATTTATTCATTTAGAGAGACAGACTTTAGAGCGGGAGAGAGAGAGAGAGAGAGAGAGAGAGAACAAGCTGCCAGGTCCGAGACTCGAACCGTAGTCAGCCATGTGGGAGTCCAGCACCCTTAATCACCAAGTCACCTGCCAGCCCCAGACAGGTGGTTCTCAATCTAGAGTGCCTTTACCTTGTAGGAGATGTTTAAAAATGTTTGAAGGGCCTGCCACATACATGGCATTAAGTGCTGTGCATAGGGAGCCAGAACCCACATGGCTGGCTGGTTGGAATCCCAGCCCTGGTAGCTTGAAAACCATACCAAGCACCTGTGCGTGTGTGCCTGAAACCCTGACAGGATAGAGAATGGAGGAAGGATTGTGGTATGGCCGTGTTCCATTGAATGGCGCTCTCTCCTTTCTCTCTGGCGCATGCATGCGCTATGGAAGAAAAAAAAGGAAGGACGGACGGATGGAAGGGAGGAAAAGGAAGAAAGGGAAAGAAAGAAAAGAAAAGGGAAAGAAGAAAGAAGAGAAGAGAAGGAAAGAAAGGAAAAAGGGAGATGTTTGGCTCTGAGTAGGTGGAGGCCATTGATGCCCCAGACATCCTACGTGCACAGAACAGCCTCCCAGCAAGAGCTGTCTGGTCGGAAAAGGCAATAGTGCCAAGACAGCCGGTGCAGTAGTCACAGAGCAGGCTGGGGTTGCAAAGGTGACAACTGGACAGCTGGAGAGCCCATGAGGGGCCCCCGCCCCGGCGGAAGGCAGGGTGCAGTTGGAGCAGTTTCCCTCTAGGGGGCTCCCTCCAGTCACTCGGCAGGGGTGATACATTCATCGCCCAAACAGTTTGACTGAGCAGTTCCTTGTGTTTGTCTGCAAGGCAGCGCCATGAGAACCAGGGAGCCAAGAGCTGCAGAGGTTGCAGGCCTTGTGAGCAGACACAGGGAGAAGATAGCCTCAAACAGGAAAGAGAAGGGGCTGAACCATGCCTGGGAAGCTGGCTTGGTCCTCTGTTTTCAGGTTTTCAATAAGTCCATCTCTGAAGGCCAGCAGAGACCCTATGTGGGCAGCTAGGTGCCAGTTTTAGCCACTTGATCACTGGCTCTGACTAGCTGGTAACCTTGGCAATGTCTCACAATCCCTCTGAGCATTTATTTGCCCCCAGCCCACGGTATTAGCTCCATCTTCAAATTCTCCCAAGCCTCTGCCTCTAGGAATCTCAGGGCCGTCTGGCCACCAGGAGTGTTTGCTGAGGACCGGCTACGTATGACGGATGCTCTGGGGAATCTGAAGGCTTGAGGGGGAGCTTCCACTCTAAGAGGAAGACATCTAGATGGCAGGGCAGAGCTTACTGTGTGCCCATCGGCCACACAAGGTTTCGAAGACCTTCCGCGAGAATTAATTAGTGCAGTCAGACCTTGGAATTAATAGATGGGTTGGCTGTGGTTGGATAGAAGGGGGAGGGAATTTCAGGAAAGGAGCCCTGAGTGAACAAGCACACAGACAAGGGGAAGCTTAAGATGTGTGTAGAGGATAAAAATGTAACACTGTCCACAGGTCTCTTTAGGACACAGTAAGGTAGCAAGCAGGAAAGGTGGGTTTAGAGCCAGATTGCCACTCTGGGGAAACTCCAGGTTTAGAACCAGAGTCTCGAGCAAGTTTTCAAACTGACCTGTGCCTTGGTGATCATGTCTGTAACAAGGTGATGATCGTGAGGTTTACATGAACTCACATGAGAAAGCATTTTGTAAACTGGTTAGAGAGGCTTAAAGAATTTGGATTTTAACCCATGAACAAGGATAGTTTAAAGAAGAAAGAGAAAAGAAGGAAGACGTTTCAAAGAAAAATCAGCAGGTCTGGAGCTGGCTCTGTAGCCTGGTGGTTAAGAGAGCTGGAGCCACATGGGCCGACCATGTAGTTCAAGTCCCAGACCCGGTGGTTGAGAAACATGCCTGGCACATGTACGTCCATGCCCAAAATCCCCAAAGGAGGGAGAAGTGGAGGAGAGGGGATTGTGGCATGACCATGACCTCTTGGAAGGTGCTTTTTCCTCCCCCTCTCTCCCTCTCTCTTTCTGTGAGTGCACATGCCTTCTGGCGAATTAAAAAGAAAAAAGAAATCTTCAGGTCTAGATTTTGAGAATGAAGAAGATAAGAGAGCTGGCTGCGAGCCTGAGGAAAGGGTCTGAGGAACAGAGCTAGAGGGGAAGCTGTTTTGGAGAGTGATGAATAGGGCAAGGGAAGAGTCCGGCTAAAAAAAGATGGGTTGGGGGAGGGACCAGCAGATGGTTTAGTGGTTAAGGTGCTAGACTCTCACATGGCTGACCACAGTTTGAGACCCAGACCTGGCAGCATGAAAATCATGCCAGACACATGTGTGTGCATGCCTCAAATCCCAGGAGAACGGAGTAGAAGGGATTGCGGTGTGGCCATCCCCCTTGCGATTTCTCACTTTCTCTCTCTCTGTCTCTTTCCAGTGAGTGCGCACATCCTATGGCAAAAAAGAAAAGGGGGGGTGGGGAGCAGCTGGTAGCATGGAGGTTAAGGCAGCTAGATCCCACATGTCCAACTGCATGGTTCGCGTCACAGACGCAGCAGCTTGAATTCTGGAAGGAGAGAGAAATGAAGAAGGGATGGTAGAGTGACCCTCCCCTCTTGTGTGGGGGAGTGTTCTTTCTCACTCTCCCTCCTCACTCTGTCTCTCTCTGATGAGTACAGGTGCCCTCAGGCAAAATAAAGAAAGAAATAAACAATGACAAAAAAAGCAAATCAAGTTTGAAGTTAAAACTAGACATGTAAGGGAAAATAGCCAACATGCAAAAATCTAAAAGTAGCACACACAGATCCATGCCTGGAAACTCCTATGGGTCAAACCAACCCTTAAAGTGAACATCTGTGTTGTACAAAAAGACCAGTGAGGGAAGGCGGGCTTGCTTCTCCCGAGCAATTAGCATAGGAACAGCATCGCATTCTGCTGGTTTTAAACTGTAGAGTGGACGGTGGGCCATCTCAGATTCTAGCTATCTGGCTGTCAGAACTGTTATTAGTTTCATTCCCTTCATCCTCAAAGAGTTATTGGTTGTCGCCACACACTCATTTATTATGTAACAGAAGTTGAGTTCAGAAGAATCTTTTTTTTAACCATGATTGTAGAAGTGGTCTGTGGCTTTGTAACAGCAATTACCTGATTTGCTTTCCTAATTGATGTAAGAACTGGCCTAGGATCTTCCCCATGTTATTATGAAGTGTCTGCATTTTTGTTTATTGCTTTGCCTTCTGGTAGATATTTATTGCCCTAGAGAAAGTGAAAACATGTTTTGTTTTAGAAAAGAATGAGTGTGAGTGAAGGCCCTGACTCCCACACTGTGGTCAGCAAAGGCGGTAGGAAAAAATACAAGGAGGTGGGCCAGCAGATGGTGAGGTAGCAGGTTCTGGATCACATAGCTGACTCCATGGTTCCAGTCCTGGGCCTGGCAGCTTGAAAAGCATGCCGGCTGCATGTGCATGCATGCTCAAAATCCCGGGAGGAGAATGGAAGCGACTAGAGGGGACTGCGGCATAGCCTTCCCCTCAGGGGTTTTTTCTCACTCTCTCTCTCTGTCTTTCTCTGGCAAGCATTCATGCCCTATGACAAAAACCCGAAAGAAAAATAAAAAGAAAACAAAAGAAAAACAAGGAGGTAAGGAGCTGAGAGTCCTGTCTTTTCATCCTGGCTTTGTGACCTTGGTCAACAAAGGTCCCCTCTCTGGACCTCAGTTTTCTTTCAGAAAATAGGATGATCAGCCCAGGGGACTTGAAGCATTAAGATTCTTTGACTCTGACTCTATTTAGAAAATAAAAACAAAAGTTAGCCTAAGACATATAGAAGAGAATTCTACTAACTTTTTATGAGTTGGAAAGCAGCCTGCGAGCATGAAAGATCTCTCTGGATAAAAATCCTGCTCTGCTACCTGCCGCCGTGCTGCTACGAATGAGTTTTGCAAGTTCTCTGAGTCTGGGCTAGCTGAACAGAGGACGGGGCAGTAGAGAAAGCCCTCGGTTCTAGCCCTGTCTTAACTGCTGTGTGACCTTGAGCATGTCCTCAACCCCTCAGGATCTGCACCTATAGAATGGGGCCACCTATGTCCTCCCAGAGTCACTGTGACCGTCAAGGAGAGATGACTACAAAGAGCACAGTTACTACTACCAGACCAGAGAAACTGAGTTAGGCACAGCAGCAGGACAGAGGCCAGTGTGACAGAAGGGAGAAGCCTCGGGGCTGCTGCTCCTGCCTGCAGACAGAGGAGGAATCGAGGTATATCGCCCACTCACCCACTGTGCAGTGGGCATGCACTCACCGCTGCCTGGCGGGCTGGCTGGGTCAGCAAATGAGTGAATGAGTCGCAGCCCACTACCTGGTAGCAGTGTGACCTTGGGCAAGCAACCTGACCTCTCTGAGCTACAGGTCAATCTTCAAAATGGGGGTAATTAATCATTGTCTCACTGGAAGGTTATAAGGATCAGAAAAGGCACGTGAAATGCCTGGCAGCCAGCAGGCGCTCGCAGGTGCTGCTAGAATGTGACAGGCAGCAGGCGCTGTTCATTTGGCACTGACCGTTCACTGCTCTGGGTTGGTGGTCTACTGTCTACTCAGGCCTATCAGAAGGCAGGGATCTTATATGAAGCGCCTCTGTTCCCAGCTCTGCTCACGGCAGTGCTCTGTGCTGGAAATGAGATCCGTGACACCTCGTCCATTTTTTTTCTTTTTTTTGGAGAGGTTTTCGCTATAGGGTCCGTGCGCTCGCCAGACAGACAGAGAGAGACAGAGAGACAGAAAGCGAGAAATCACCCCCCAGGGGAGATGGTCACACCGCAATCCCTTCTCCTCCATTCTTCTCTCGGGATCTTGGGCACGCACGCACACGCACCCGGCATGAGTTTTAAGTCACTGGGTCCGGGACTTGAACCGCGGTCGACTACGTGGGAGTCCAGCAACATAGCCATTATGCTAACTGCTGGTTCCCACCTCGTCCATTTTGAGGGCCCTCGTCTTAGCAAATTCTCAAAGACTTGCAGCCCATTGCTGAACTACCATCTCTTACCAGAAGGTTCCCAGCTCTAGGAGTGTAGCTCCAGCTCCTGCCTGTAATACCCACTCCCCCACCCTGGATATTAATGGCCCAGGGGACACAAGGCCCCGCACTGTCTACATCTGTGACCTCAGAACAGCCTCTGATTATTACAAGCATGAGGCGACCCACAGATTCCCAGTGTCAGAGACACCAAGACCAACCCAGCCTTGTCTTCACGGCTCCCACAAGTGACCGTATCTGTTCTCCCTTTGTGCACCCCAGGGCACCTTGCACGAGGCCAGGCATCAAGAACATGTTTAAAATATTCGGGAACCAGCAGCTAGCGTAATGGCTATGTCGCTGGACTCCTACGTAGTCGACAGCGGTTCGCGTCCCGGACCAGGTGGCTTAAAACTCACGCCGGGAGCGTGTACGTGCATGCCCAAGATCCCAAGAGGAGAATGGAGAAGGGATTGCAGTGTGACCATCCCCCCTGGGGGGTGATTTCTTGCTTTCTGTCTCTCTGTTTCTCTCTGTCTGGCGAGTGCACACGCCCTATAGCAAAAACTTCTCCAAAAAAAGAAAAAAAAAAAAGAACATGCTTTAAAATATTTGTTGCATCAATGAATGGACAAAGGAATGACTGACTAAATGAATGACCAAGAGCCAGTTTCACAGTGTTAAGGACACAGGCTTTGAGGTTAGCCTCAGGCTTGAATCTCCGTTCTACCACTCTGATGCTCAAGAGTCCTGGGCAAGGGAACCAGCAGTTAGCGTAATGGCTATGTCGCTGGACTCCCACGTAGTCGACCGCGGTTCGTGTCCCGGACCCGGTGACTTAAAACTCACGCCGGGCGCGTGTGCGTGCATGCCCAAGATCCCGAGAGGAGAATGGAGGAGAAGGGATTGCGGCGTGACCATCCCCCCTGGGGGATGATTTCTCGCTTTCTGTCTCTATGTCTCTCTCTGTCTGTCTGGCGAGCGCACGCGCCCTACAGTGAAAATCTCTCCGAAAAAAAAAAAAAAAGAGTCCTGGGCAAGTTAGTTAACCCCACTGGTGCCTTAGTCTCTTCTGAAGAAAGAGAATAATGAAGGTACCTACCACATTTGATTATCATGCCAATGAAATGAGATTTTATACCCACACACACATATATATAGAGAGAGAGAGCACTTAGCACAGCACCCAGCTTTATAAATGTTGGCAATTATTGTTAATTACTGTATACGTTTAGATGAATACATGACCCATGTTATCATATATTGTTACTGATTAGTAATGAACCAATAAGTGGGGGTGGGGAGACTGAAGATTATTGGCTTGTACTAATTAGCTTTCGGTCACGTTTCCTCACTGCCATCGACCACTTTTTTTTTTTTGGAGAGGTTTTCGCTATAAGGCGCGTGCGCTCGCCAGACAGACAGAAACAGAGAGACAGAAAGCAAGAAATCACCCCCCAGGGGAGATGGTCATGCCGCAATCCCTTCTCCTCCATTCTCCTCTCGGGATCTTGGGCACGCACGCACACGCACCCGGCGTGAGTTTTAAGCCACCGGGTCCGGGACGCGAACCGCGGTCGACTATGTGGGAGTCCAGCGACATAGCCATTACGCTAACTGCTGGTTCCCGCCATCGACCACATTTTAAAAACTGTTTTGTCTTTATTCATGATAGAGTACATGTGTGCACATGCACATAAAAGCAAGAGAGAGTGACGAGCACCCTCCACAGGGTCTGCTCACGCTGTGATCTCTTCCTCTAGTTCTCCAGCCCGGTGGACTTGGGCACGTGCACGTGTGCCTGGCGTGTTTCAGTGGGCGGGGCCAGGATTCAAGCTGTGCTTGCCTCGTGGGATGTGGGTCCTCTTGAACAGCACCCCGCTACTGTGCCATGGAGCCAGCCCTCGTTTTTTTTTAAGTTATTCATTTAAACTTAATTCTACTAACTTTTTATAAGAGTCGAGAAGCAGCCTTGTGTGCCCTTCCAAACATGAAAGACCTGTCTAGATTAAAATCCTGACCTGCTGAGGCCAGCTGGTGGCATGGTAGTTAAGACGCTGGATCCCACATGGTTGGTCACAGTCCCAGACATAGTGGCTTGAAAACAAAATCACACTGGGTGCATGTGTATGTGCTTAGAATCCTGAGAGGAGAATGGAGGAGAAGGGAGGAGAAGGGACTGTGTATGGCCATCCTCCTGGGAAGCGATTTCTCTCTGTCTCTCTTCAGGGAGCACATGTGCTCTATGGCAAAAACCTTAAAAAAAAAAAAAATCCTGATCTTTTCCTGATCCTGATTCTGATCTGAGAGAGAGGGGATGTTCCTAACAGGGTCTTTCACACCATGGCAGGTACAGGTGGGTGTGCCTGGCACACTCAGGGCGGTCTCAGGATGAGAACCCAGGACCTCTTCCATATGGTTTGAGTATTATTGCTGCACCACTGCCTGGCCCTCCATCTACCTTTTTTTGGGAGAGGTTTTTGCTATAGGGCGCATGCGCTTGCCAGACAGACAGAGAGAGACAGAGAGACAGAAAGCGAGAAATCACCCCTAGGGGGGATGGCCACACCACAATCCCTTCTCCTCTACTCTCCTCTCGGTATCTTGGGCACGCACGCATACACGCCCAGCGTGGGTTTTAAGCCACCGGGTCCGGGACTTGAACCACGGTCGACTACATGGGAGTCCAGCGACATAGCCATTACGCTAACTGCTGGTCCCTCCATCTACCATTTTTAAGATGCAGGAAAGACCCAAGAGACAGAACTCAGGTGAAGAGAAAGAACAGACATTGCTTGGCGCCTTCCATATGCAAAAGTAGGTAAGGCCAGGAGGAGAATCCAGTCTTGGCTGACCTTTGCATGCAGAGGTGACCTCTGAGTCCTGTGGCAGCACCAAAGAGCAAAGAGATCATCTCTAACGGTGCCAAGGCGCCGGCCAGGTGGGTTGCAGGGCTGTATAAGCCACCTGTAGCTATGGGAAGGAACTTTGCACCAAAGCAGCTGGCCTGCAGCTGTCTCCAGTGCACACAGGCATGATGTCACCACCTAGCTTCATTAGCACCCACCCTGACAACTATGGAAGCTACGACGGACAAAAAATGAGTAGTGGCCATCCTGGGCCAAGGTGTCACCAGCACCAGGGGTGTAACCTCAGCCGTCAGTAATTAACAACAGTTGCCTGCTCCTCCCTGCTCTGGCTGTCAGGATCTGCATGGGCAGGCGTGCTGCAGGGGTCTTGCTCTTGGGCTGTTGGGGATCGGGGAGGGGTAGTGGACAGAAGGTGGGGAAGAGCTGCTGGCAGCCACCAGCAGACACACACTGATGCCATGCCTGGTCCTAAGAGCCGGGCAGGCCTCCTCGCAGGCTGCTGCCCTGCTCACCCGCTGCAGAAACTCTGTGCGTTCCTTCTTCTTGTTCCGGCATCGGGCTGCTGCGACTTTGTTCTTCTCCCGACGCCTTTTCCTTCGCTCCTCTTCCTCGTCTAGCTGTGAGGGCACAGAGCCACTGATTAGACACTGCGGCAGGCCTGGAGAACAGCTTCCCTCCCGATGCACAGAGGGACAGAGGGACAATGCCCCCTTCCTAACCCACACCTCAGGAATTCTGTGGTCCCTTCTGCCCACCTCCTCTCTGGAGGGATAGAGCCATTTCCAGCCAGTCCAAGGAGCCTCTGGGAGCAGGCAGGCATCCCAGAGAGGAGTCAGTGTCCCAGAGAGGCAGGGCTACGTGGGTGCTGGCAGAGCTCGGCAGGCCGGGAGCCTGGCGAGTCTACTCACCAGAGGTGGCACCCAATGGGCAGTAGGGGCCTGTTCTCCTGCCCAGCCCAGGCCCTCTGGCCACGATTTTCCAGGCCAGCAGTTCCCAGGCACTTCCTTTAAAAAGGCCTGGGGTGAGGCACAGGTTTCACATTCCACCCTCACCCCTTCCCACCCCCTGAATAACTCCACCTGCCCTCTTGCCCTCTGTTGGGAGTTTAAACCTTCTTTGCTCCTCCACCCTCTCGGTCCTTCCAAATGCTGGATCTGCTTCCTGTTGCCACTAAACAACCTCCCTCCTCAGCCTCCTCACCTGCTTTAACCCTTTTCTTGCCTTTGCATATTTGTCCCCAGAATACCCACCCAGAGAGAACTGAGGACCCCCAGGATACATGCCCAGAGGCCTCCAGGCTTGCTTTGGAGAACCTACTAGAACGTTCACCATGCATGAAATAGGGCCCATTAAATGAGCCAGCAACACCAACTTTGAGTCAAGGTTGCACCTATTATTGCTCATTGGTAATAATAATGAGATGGGACTAGATGGTGGCACGGGGGTCACGAGACACTCTGCAAGGCTGACCCACATAAGAAGTTCTGGTCTATACCCAAACACCTCGCTAACTATGCTGGGCACGCATATGCCCACATCCAGGGCTCGGGGTTGGGGGTGAACAGCAGTGGCAAGATGCTGTTGGGTGTGCTGACTCTTTGTCTCTGTCTCTCTGTCCCTCTAGCTCATAGAAGAAATAAATACACTTAAAAAAAATAAAAAACAGGAAGAGCTGCCATTTGTCACTTGGTTGGCCAAATGCTTTAAATACATGTCATTTACTCCTCACAAGCAAAGTCTCATGAGGAAGGTGCTACAATGGTCCTTTTTTTTTTTTTTTTTTGGAGAGGTTTTCGCTGTAGGGCACGTGCGCTCACCAAACAGAAATTCTCCATTCTCCTCTCGGGATCTTGGGCACGCACGCACACGCGCCCGGCGTGAGTTTTAAGCCACCAGGTCCGGGACTTGAACCGCGGTCAACTACGTGGGAGTCCAGCAACATAGCCATTACGCTAACTGCTGGTTCCCACAATGGTTCATTTTAAAGATGGTGAGACTGAGGCTCAACAGGTCTATCTGCCCAAGACTGCACAACTAGGAAATGGCAGAGCCAGAATTGAAACTCAGACGTCTCCAGCACTGACTTCCCGCTCTTGGCCAGGAAGCCCACACAGCTCAGCCCGTCAGGAGCACTCCTACATGGTACCTGTCACTGACCATGACCTACCTGGAAAACCTGCAGGCACACTGGACCAGCTGGGCTGAGGACGGCCCCCAGTTAGAGGCCATTAGGGAAGTCATTGACTGCCCTGGGCTTGCCTACCCTCACTTCTCAGGGTGTGGAGGTGGTGACTGGCAGCCCGAGGCCTAGAGCAAGCACTCAGCCCAAGGGCTACAGGCCAGGGAAATAAATAGCCTCTCCCGGCATGCACTCCCGGCATGCTCTGGGAGCTCAGGACAGAGGCTCGGGCCCAAGACCAGCACCACAGCCATTGGCACAGGCCCTGGCAGGGTGGCCCTTCCTCCCCGCCCCCACGCTGGGCTTCTCTCTGACACTCCCACGCACCTGGGAGGCCGCTGGAAAGGCGCCTTGTCAACACCACCGCACCCAACCACCTCCCAGCCCCTTGGCTGCCTTTGAAACCGACCCAGAAGTGACAGCTCCTCTGGCTGACCCAGCATCTGGGAAAATAGAAACCTGGCCGAAATCGATTCCGCCCAACCTCAGCCTCACCCCCAACAAGGCGAGGTAACCGTGACGACAGGCAGAGGGAAGGAACTGGAGGAAGTGGCTGGCAGTGCAATCTCCCCTCGGCCGAGAGGGTTTGCCCACAAACTGCCAAGGTGATGTGTGCAGCCTGCGCATTGCAGGGCTCAGGTCTCCTGGGTAGCCCTGGGAGACACAGCTTCTGTCCTCCAAGACCCAGCTCCCACCCCTACCCCCGCGCAGGGCCCACTTCCACAGAAAGTCGGAACAAGCGGAAGCTGCTTCTGCAGCCGATGCAGAGAGGCTCCGCGCTGGAAGGAGGCTTCAGAGAACACTGGCCTGGCTAATGCCACAGCAGGATCTGTTCCACCCAGTCTGCTCAGCCATCAGTCCCCTCCTGCCGTCACCTTCTACCTCAAATGTCACTCTTCTCCAAGCCAGCCAGGCCTTCCAGCTGAGCAAGATGATCTTTCTGTCACTCTTTTTTAATTTTTTTAACTTGCTATAGGACTCATGTGCTAGTCAGAGAGAGAGAGGGAGAGAGGGAGAGGGAGGGAGAGGAGTGGAGAGAGGAAAAAGCACCCACATGGGAGATGACTACACCACAGTCCTCCTTCATTCTCTTGAGATTTTGGGCATGCACGCACATGCACTGTCAGGTCCAGGACTCTAACTGCAGTGAGTCAAGTGGGATCCAGCTGCCTTAACCACAGCACAAACGGGTTGGTCCTGGGATAACCTTTCTCCACTTGGTAAATTCATTCAGCCTTCAAGAGTAAATGTCCTCTTCTCCTCTGACTCCCAGCTAGAACAGACTGCTCCTTCTGGGCTGCTAGAGCACCCAGTCTCTACCACATCCCACCACAACCCCCGGTCCATATAGCACCTGTCCTCCCTGCCAGTCTGGAGGACAGGGACCTGGGCACCTGGCACAGAACATATTCAGTAGGGACTCAACAAATGTGACTCAGATGAGTGGGTGGGGTAAAGTCCACTAGAGAAAGATGCCACAGGCTCAGACTCTAATTATTAAGTGATGATCTCCCACGTGTGCATTGGCATAAACCTTCCCCAACATTGCCAGGAGCCTCTTAGCTCTGTCTGTAGGAGGCCAACAATGCTTGTGGATGGGGTCCTGCCTTGCCCAGAAGCATGTCGGCTGAAGGCAGGGTCTAATTTGGGAGCATAGGCCCCTGGTGGCTGTGATGGGTCTGCACGAACACTAAGCAGGCCCAAAGAGAATTCAGGGTGTGCACTTAGACCTAAAGCCTCTGTCCCATAGCTGCCACCAGCTCCAAGCCTGTCTCAGCCCTTTCTTGCAGTTAGGCCCCTCCAGCCTGACACCTTCCAGTAAGGCAGGACGTGGTCCCAGAGCCCCATTGCTGACCCTTCCCCATGGAAACTGTGCTGCCTCTTCTCAAATCCTCCTGTGGTTATTTAAGAGTTGTCCAGAGGAGACAGAGAAAACAGCTGTGGAGGCCCGAGCAGGAAAAAGATAGGCGTTCAGCCTCTTCCACCCCCATGGCTACCTCAGCCTCCTCTCATGGACCCTGTGGGGTGCTGCATCCTGACTGGGCCCGCTTGGGTACTCTCCCGGGCCCTCTTCCAAGGCTCTTCTTTTGTCCCCAGAGTCAAGGCTGCTGCCTCCCCCCTCCTAATGCTTCCTGAATTCTCAAGAGCATTTGGCCGCGAGTGGGTGAGAGACAGCACAGTGTTTTCACCACAGACATCTAAAACCAGAACCCCAAATTGGAGAGGATGGTTTTTCTGCAGACACAGCTGGAAGAACCAGGATGTTGGAGGAGGAGGCAGCTTTGACGCGTAATACATTTAAAGAGCCAAGAGCTGAGACTGGGGGTGCTCAAACTTACTTCTGGCTCTGTCTCCCCCAAATTCCCAGGAAGGCCCAAGGGCAAAGCTGTGTCCTGGCAGGGAGGGGTGCCCCTGTGCTGTACTTTGCATCGGAGGGAGGGACTGGGGGACACCCAAGAGAGCCCTCAGTTAGTCAGCCCCTCCTCACCCATGCCCTTCATCAGAAAGGCTGTTCTCAAGCCTCTGCTGGGGCCCAGAGAGACCCTATGCCGTGGCCACAGCTGACTAGACAAGGTATAAATGGCTGACCTGAGTTGGGCTATATTCACTCTCCTAGAGTTTGAAATTGACCCAGAGATGCTAAGTGCTGGACTAGGGGACATGCAGGGTGGGGTGACTTTAGCCATGTTCCAGGGAAGCTGGGGAGAGAGGAGCAGAGACCAGAGGCCATAAGTAAGGTAAAACCACAGCTAGAAGGCCCAGACTGATGGTATAGGCAATAGCAAACTGAACTGCCATGCCGAAAGCCTCACGGCCAACTGCTAGTTCAGATCCCCGGATGGCTTAAAAACATACCGGGTGCACATGTGCGTGCCCAAGATCCTGATGAGCTGGAGGGCCATGGAGAGGGGCTCTGTCTCGCGCATGCGCACACATGTGCTCTCTATCAGGAATAAAATAAGCTTTCAAAAGGAAAACACTCAGCTATAGGAGGGAGTCAGAGAGATGAACAGAGAGACAAAGAAGGGAGTGCTGGCAGGTGGCGTGGTGGTTAAGGTGCTGGACTCCCACATGGCTGATCATGGTTCAAGTCCCGGACCTGGCAATTTGCTTTCTCATTTTTTTTCTCTCTCTGTTTCTCTCTAGTCAAGTTAAAAATAATAACAAAGTTAAATGAATAAATAATTCTTAGAGAGAGAGAACACATAACAGAGAAAAGCCAGGCCTGGACCAGGGAAAGCAAGCAGGGAGGCTCATCCTTGGGCTTGTGCGTGTGGTGCAGGGTCAGCACCTGAGTGAGCGCCTCAATCGTCAGGCCTAGGCAGCTCACCTAGGCTTGCTCACACTGGTCCAGCCCCTGAGCAAGAGAGCTCCAGACAGAGAGGGGCAGGGACAGGGACAGAAAAAGCAAGACAGGAAAACACATGGAACACAGAG